GGGGGGTTTGAGTTATCAAGGTTCAGCTGTATATGAATATATTTCTCTTGAAACAACTGCACTGAGATCTCAAAACATTTGTACATCAGTACTGAGATCTCGAAACAACTTTACAAATTTAGAACTGCGACCAACAATTGAATGGGTTTCAAGAGCGTTTGTGGAGAGTATAGTGAAGTATTTTTCAGTTGCTTACATTTATCTATGATTTATATCATAAAAAAGACTGACCAGTCGCCACGAGGAAGTGGAAAGTTTTGTCTGTACAGGATTTTTTCTCGGACTTGAACAAACAATGCCCTTCATAATTCGGCCTATTATAGGATAGCACGCAAGTGCGAAATCAATCGTGAACGTTTAATCATATTTCTGTTTGGATCATGAGCATTTGGTTCGACTGGATTGTAAAATGCGACGACGAATGGGGATTGTCAGCATTCTCTCCAAATGCAGTACATGTAATCGTACAAACTTTCCGAAGGACTCTTCTCTCAAATGTCGTTCAGTAAATTTTGATGAAATACAGTAATTCATTCTGGTTTCCGAGCATTTGTGACAGCGGAAACGATAACTGCGTTGTGACACGTGCACTTCAGCGTGAGTGACTTGAATTTGCTGCTTGATAGCAGGAAGCTAGGCATGTGCGGGAAGTTGCTCGTTTGGGTACCACTTTTCCAAGATCCGGTGAGGGGTTTTTCCGCGTCGCACAAGGGTCTTGAACCTTCGGGAAAAGCATACGAGGTCGCTGAACTCCGACGTTTGTGCCATTTTTGTTTTCCCCTTCTTTGCAGGAGGGTGAAATTCTAGCAAAATGCTGTCTTATTTCTGCGGGCATATCTGATTTCATGTCCGTCGTGAGCTGGATTTTACGCAAGTACTGAATTCAGTGCGGCTTGAAAATTTATTCTACAGGAGAGCCGTCGCCGGAGAACACGGGGTTCATTCACAACCGCTCTCCGCCACTCCATTCACGCTCTGAAATAAAATACTAAAAGGAATTAACAATGTCTCATGTACGAGTACATATGACTGAAACAAGATCCTTTGACTCGACTCGTGAAAGTCGAAATACATATAAGTGGATACCCGACGCTTCGTCATCCAACGTTTCTGTTCACATCTGACAAAAATTTCCGCGTTCTTCCCTTTTTGAATTCATATGAATGTTACCGAACACATCATAATTCAATTTTTACTGTTGATCAAAAGAAAACATTGGTGAAATGTTTTAACTGTCGACAGTTTTTTGCATACTTCATTCATGAACCACCGTGACTCAGCCAAATTTTTTCGATATATTTACGTATTTTCTCTCCTGAATTTGAATTTCGCTACAGAACCCTCTTCAATTATAAAGTTACGTTTTAAATGTCATTGAAATGGTGAATATTTCCTGGCTGATTCATCCGACGTGAGGGTTCACTCTCCAATTTTTCGGGCACTGGTCCGTAAACCAGTGGACTGGTGATGTGGTGAATAAACCACGCACTTTATGCCATAAAGGTGAACCTCACGTGAAAGGAAATTGAATGTCCTTTAATTTTTCTACGTGAACTGTGCAGGACTTCAAGCGATGTTCCTGTCTGAAAATAGGTGAACATTTTCAGCTTCTCCCTGTATTCTAGAAATGCGTTCATGACGATCCTTCTGTACACGAGGCATTTTTATGATGATATACTTGTCATTCGACGCTATACTTATTTTTCTAACCCCTTGGCAATATCATTGAATCGTTTTCATTCTTGCAGTCGGGGAGATCAGAAGGCAAAATTAATTTTCATGAACATCCAGTCGGAAATTAAAACGTCCACAAAAACCTAAAGTAACCTGTCGGAAAGCAGGAACGGGGGTTTTCTGGGTCAGACGAAATAGGAGCAAGGAGTGTAACCAGATGATAACGCTCTGCATTTGTGAAGCATTAGTACCGGAGGTCGACCGAGGTCGGTATGACCTCTTCCCTCTGAGGATCGCATACACGCCGGGGATTCCAATCGACCTCCACAGCAGACCAACTCGTGGATCGGAAGTCTAGGTTCTCGCTATCTATAGAGGACTCTTTATACTTTTTTTTTAGGCGAGGTGACAAGAAATCACGGACAAAAATCTCTGCGTGAACACCCGAAAGCTCGACAGCGTTCTTATCATCTCAAGACCAGAAGAGTTACATTTCTTTTTGGTTGAAAATTTTGAGAGAACAGAAAAGATTTCACGTGAACTCAAATGTTGTACAGCAATCTTCAATCATATTCATTCATGAATTACAACCGTCATAGAGACAATCAGGGGCAGCAACTGGAATACTAATTGCGTTTCTCATAATTTTGTTAGTGAATTAACCCCCTCCTCCCCCCGATTCAGACTTTGCAGTAAACCTGGAATAAAATTGCTTGAAAGTAAAAGAGCTGGAATGTACTGCGGAATTCACTTAGTCATTTCTACAGCAAAACTTTCTCTCCTCGATTTCTGCCTCATGAGAACAGGAATAATATCAAATTTTCTCACATCTGCTAACGGGTTTTAATTTTTAAAATGACGAAAGCTTCTGTGAGTCAGAATCTCAGAAACGGTGTCTGTAGACGGCGTCAAAAGAAGGTAAATACTTCTTCAAATCCAGTGCCGTTTTGGTGAACTCAGTTGAATTATTTCTAAATTGCGTTGAAAAACAGCTTGTGCAGATCCCTCATCAGTTAAACGATTTTTGTGTCTCTCTGTTTTTTTTTTTGGCAGGGCATGGACAAAGCAAAACTATCAAATAGTTATTGCATTGCACGAGTGTTCATCTGCTCAGCAACATGCGCGATAAAAACCTATGGATAACCAGAAATAGTGGGAGTAAACATAATCGTATCCTTATACCAGTCTGCGGTTGACATACAGTAATATATTTTTAGACTCTATCTTACTATACTTACCGTTTGAGCAGATTTTATGACGAAATTCGAGTGACCCCCAGCACTGCGAAGTACAATTTCGCTGAAAAAAATATTTACACGGTAGAGCGTTATACAGTACTTTTTTATTCCCCGACTGTAACATGAATGCGACAGCGTGGAATTTCGTGCTCCATGTTTAAAACTGTGGCGATGATTATTTTTATAGAAAATCAGAAAACCCTCCGTTTTTTGTTCAAGTAATTTCTTCAAACGATTATGACGTACACCCACTCAGCCTGATTTTGGTATTATGCGAAGGACCACGTGGTATTTGAGTACAGTACATGAGGTATGCTGATGACCTGGTTTGGCCTAGCCGATACATAATCAATTCATTGAAAACTCGGGAAAATGTCTCAACCTACTGTCACGAAGTCTTGACAGTGCGGGATTTTGCAGCCGAAACTCGGTCTTTCCCCGTGAGTCAAACCACCGGTGAACGTAATCAAATCCGACGTTCGCGGTTCGCTTTTCGATTTTCTTCAGGAAGACAAGTTGCAGCTTGCCCTCGGAGTGTCACACGTAGAACTCTTCAGACTTGGCATTTCCTGCTGTTGCAAGCAAGAAAAATATCTTCTGATACCAATGGTGACTGTCGAAATGGCCTTTTTCAAGTCAAGAGGCTTACCATTGGGCGTTTAGTCCAGTATACGCTAGATTACGATCTTCGCTTGGCACGCGTTCTTGTACATAAAAATATCCCTCTCAACGACAGAAAAGTCTCAGTATTTCTAAGAGCTGCTCTTAGAATATTTCCCGACAACGCAGTACTATTTACATGCTGAACAAAATGTCTCAAAATATGACTAGTAACTTGGCTCCACCAGAATCTTTCGAGAACATCAAAAAACCTTCAATTTTCTGCTTCGCAAGACACCAATAAAATTAAGAAGCATCTTTAGACGCGTGATGATTATCGTATCAACCTTCCCCACCATTAAAATGCATTCTCATGCACTTCAAGCTTTAGATTTTGAGAATATTTTGTGCCATATGCATCATGTTTACAGCAACACACCCTGTTTGAAGCCACGCGTGTTCGTTTGTATTTTTTTGTTTAATGGAACGGAACCAAAATTCTGCCGTAGAGAAAATTTGAATTGATCAGGAGCATACGAAGTATGAATATATTTGGACGTTCAAGTTGTACATTTTGATTAGCTCATTTTTCGATACAGTATTTCAAATGATCATCCGTTTCTGCTAATTTTGTTCTAGATCAGCGTTCACCAACCTTTTTTGGTCCGCGGGCCGGCAAATTTGCATACGAATTTTTGCGGACCGGCAAAGTTTCAGAAAAGTTTTTCAGACTAAAAAAAAAAGTTGCTTTATGGCAGGTATTAAAATTTTTTCTGCAAAAATTAAATTAAGAACCAATGAAGCAGCTATATTATAGTGGGGTGTCTTCAGAAAATCAGAAAGGTGGGCTTCAAGAAAGGTGTCTCAGAATGAATCTTAAAACAATTTCTTTTAGCCAGTGAAAATGTGTCTGAAGTGTTATTCGGATGAACGCCAGCTTTCCTTTTCATCAGATTATTTCAACTGTCATTGTCTTTCAGAAATTGTAGGCGAAGATAAGGCTTCATCGCTAACTAAAAAAAAATTAATTATGCTGAAGAAAATTTCTCGCGGACCGGCAAGCAACTTCTGCGGACCGGCCCCGGTCCGCGGACCACGGGTTGGGGAATACTACTCAAGATCAAACACTTCCGATCAGAACGGTTATGAGTTGGGTGAAGCATGCGGTTGAAGAAAACTGCTAGCGGCGATGTTTATGAAACGACAGAGCCTTATTTTGCTCGTAGTTTCGTGTTTCACATTTTACTCATAAGTTCTTCCCGCGAAAAGAACGAGATCAATCCGGTGACAAGATGCCGAAGCAAAAACGGTTTTCGAAAACCAGGTCAGGGCAGTGAAAAGAGAGGGGAGATGCTATAAAACGCGTTCGCCTTTCGAGGCCCCTCGTTTGAATTGGCACATGTTTTTTTTCGCTTCCACGCCAGGGCGAGCAGAAACATTCCGCATGCTAAGCGCTGCACTTCCGGAGAGAACTTCCTGGAAATCTCATACGGATTTGGGCGTAGTTATTTGGATGCAAACATTCCGTCCTCCCCCGAACCGCATTGGTTTGCACAGCCAGAATGTGCCGTACAAATGTTCCAACTAATTTTATTCATAAATGGTTGATTCGAAGTAGAAAATAAACGATTAAATCATTTCATTCAGGACTTTTTTATGCCGAACGTTCTCCTGTCATCTTCAAATGCTTTTTGCTGCGGTAATTACGACATGCCGTACAAGCTACATTAATGGAGTTTGAGTTTCCCTGTATTTTTTCAAATAAGTGAGGTACCGTGCGTTGGTGTTTCTTCTTCGAAAGGATACATTGAAATTATCACATATTTCCAAGGTAGATTATACAGCGAAGCCCAATATTCAACAGACTCCCTATAGTCAAGCTTATTTATCGTTCAAAAACTTGTACTCTCTATGGAAAAAATTCTCTATTTAGTAAAGCAAAATTCAGTTGAAGAATGATTTTTACAAGAATCCCTCAGTTGGCCATCCGAGATAATGCATAAAATTGTAATGGAGTACTCAGTACAATGTAATTGGGAAGACTAAATTTTTGCGTTGAAATCCAAATACCTGCATGCGTCTAGCCATTCAATTGATAACGATAAAAATGTTTTTGGAATATTTTCTAACTCTTCTGCGCTTCGTGTTTTAATCTTGACCATGTGTTTCGAACTGAGCTCTTGACTCACTCAGAAACAAAGTTTCTTACGAAAAGAAGTTCAGAATTCGTTACTTTTCCTCACATTTATTGCAGAGTCAGCAGTTTCTTCGAAGAAATTTTGAGAAGGAAATCAAAACAGCTCAAATATATATCACAGTAATCAAATACGAACAATTTCTAGTTTGGATGGAAAACCGTCGGGAAGAAGACTTCGTAAATTTCCACTGTAATATTTTTCATTGCGTAGGATTTTTTCCAACATGCTACATAGATATCAATATATGAAATTTAAATACATTTTCAAAGCTTTCAGTAGCTCCCACAGATTAGGCAAATCATGGAAATGCGTCCATCTGAAGTTTCGCCGATATATGAAGCTAGAAAAATACATTGTTTTCAAGTGCACCTGACCACCTGCTTTTCTTTATCTATGTCCATGACATACAAAATCGAATAGAAATTCTGCAATATGGAGAGATCGGGAGAAAAAGAGAAACTTCTGTTCGATTTGATAATTGAAGGATTTCATAGAACCAGATTTTCTTCCCATGTGCAAATCACAGTTTTCATGGTAAAACATCGTGATCTAAGTAAAAATAAAAAATAAAAAACGCATCCCTTAAGATCAGTAAAAAAGCCTCTGCAGTCATTTTTCCCCAATTTTTGAGTGAAACGAATATTAAGTATTTTTTATTCAAGACTCTAAGAGTCTAAGTGAATAAATATGCAGAGGAAATTGATTCTCAATTATCTTTCATTTGGAATTATTTTATCATTAAATCTGTGTGTTAGTAAATACGGATCTGCTACTGACGCAGGAGTCAACTGACACTGCGACGTATTCCTGGGGATCGCTGGAACCAAAGGGGCATCAGTGACAGATTCTACACGTGCTTTTGATAAACTTTTTATACAATTTGTGATGCAAAAATAACGCTTTACAAGCCCAAATTGCTTGCATTGTTGCATTGTACGTGGGACATGCTTGAGGAACCTGCGATGACATGTGCTCGTGGTGAACTCTTCACAGACAGCATGTTATTCATGTTTTCCGAAGCTCGGGAATGTTAGCGACAGACACGTGTTTTCTACTCATGCTATTTTTTCGTTCTTTTCGAACGGTATGCAATAATTTAGTTGAATTTTAATTGTACTCAAAAATGTCATTTGAAGAATTGGCACTTTCCGTGGATCCCTGCCTTCTTCCTTGCGGATATGTAAGAAGATCTCCGCGGTGTAACAGAAATAAAGGGGTATCAATATCGACTGAGCACGAAGCCCAACTGCGGGGTACCAACTGAGACCACGTAAAACTGAGCAAAGCCAAACTGAGAGTCACTCCAATGAACTCATCGATACCTAATTATTGAAAATTTGCCGTAGCTATGTCTACCAGAAAAGCTGCAGCAACGACACGCAACAACATTTTCATGCTCGTCAGCACTGCAATCTTCGCCCTGACTGATTCGGGCTTCAATTGAGAGCCCCGTTCTTGTTAAGAAAACTAACAATTAATTTATGTCATACGTCAAGGAGTTTGAACAGTACTGTCTACATAAGTTTGATTTTATAATGTAAACTGCTTCAGAGAGTACCGCATTGTTTACCATCAGCGAAAACGCGTGTACAGAACAACATCTACGAAGGCTCTCAGTTGGAATGCGCCCGAATGGATGACGTACACATGGTTTGCATTCAGTTGGGCGGTCAAGAACACAATTAACTCCCACTGTAATGAAGCCAGAATTCTGGTGTGGTTCATTCCAACGGATGATGAGTACCAAAACCAGCCACACCAGTGTCCGTCGCGCACAACGATCACGATCCCATCCACCCGCACATCTACGTGATAACAGAGGTTATCGTGATTTAATTGCGGTCTGACCGAGTTCTGGGCTGGTCCGTTCATTACGTAAACGAACCATGAATTCTTCCCATTTTTCCTTGCCTCCTGGCGAAATGCCCCATTTCCGGGCTGCCAAATCTCGGGCATCGGTTCCCTCCGGGCTCCAACTTTCTCGGAGGAATGACGTGTATAGTTCATACAGTGTTTCTTATTACAGTATATGGCCCGGAGAAGGTTTTGATACAGACGGGTGATCGGCTGGCTTCCAAGTAAATTTATTGGTTTTCTTGGAATCTTTTATAAATTATTATCTGAATGGATACGACCGGTATTCTGGCAGTTGGTGAATTTGTCAATAGCGATAAATTTTCCGAATGTATTCTGTAAATATAAATTTCCACAACATGCAGGGCGTTTTCCTCCGGAATTTTGGAAAATCCGTCTATGCGGAAATACTTCTATTGAGAACATTCAGAATTACTTGTGCGAGCATATATCGCCAGCCACTTGAAAATGCAATAATTATTTTATTACTTTCCCCACTATTTTGACAATTATTTTTTAGGCCTTCTTCATCAAAAATTTAAGCATTCCAAAAATTTATACTGCGCATTTTTCATTACTGAACCCAGCTGTGGTTAACAAATTTTCAACACTGTTACACTAAGGGTGATGCATAAACAATACTGTACTGGAGACAATTTTGGTTAATTGATCAAGACGCCTGATTTTGCAGAATCGTCATTCATAAATCGCTAGAATAGCTTTTTGAAGTCACTGTTGCCTCCAGGGAGGTATACATTTTGAGTAGAAGTTTTCCTGCAATTGCAGGATTTATATCATTGAATAAAAAATTAGTTTGGTAAACTGTGTATAGCTCAAGATCCGTGCGTCGAATCAATCCATGAAAAAAAACATGTGAGGAAAATATTGTAAGATTTCAGACAGCATGCAATTTATATTTTCTTCGTTTATTGTTAACGTTGACCGAGTTGTGAACTTCAGTATACTGTAACAGTATCGCATATATTTTACACCTATTTCACAATTCCCAAAGACATACAGTACTTTTCATAATATTACAGTATTCTAATCTTTAATGCACTTAAATCTTCGTTCCGCTTTGGCCAACTCATGGACTAAACGTATATTGCTCTGTTGGACTCCTTATAGCAAAATCTCACGTAAAACCTGACAGGGTTATCACGTACCAGCAGCATTCGTTCAAAAGCGCTGTCTTTGTTAATTCCTTCGGGCTTGAATAATTGAGTTTCTGTGATAACGCGAATGATGCATCTGTGTTTGAGGCGGAGGACGCTTCTTTGAGTTCCATCAGTAGTCGGATCTTGCATCATTGAGATATTACCTGCTCCACTACTAGATGGAAAAGGAAGGCCCGGAAAGTAAGGAAATGACAGTAGGAAAACTCGAACGCGAACTCGATGTTAATGAAACCGCGGAAGCAAGCTGGCAAGGCATTCACAAGAGTAGTAGCATGTGGGTTATCGTGGGTGGACAAATGAAACATGGTTTTGAGCATGCTGAGGAGAAAATGGACGGGTGCAGAGAAAAGACCGGAAGGAAGCGCAGCCAACATTCCGATGGAAAATGGATCCCGGGATGCGCCGAACAGTCGGTGTCGTGCTGATGCATGATCTCGCGGCCATTAATTTTTGCGAGGAAGGGTTTAAAGTCTCTGGACTCACATTTGTCAGTCTGCTATGCTCAGTACCATGTCCAGACGAATGCACATGCGAGCAAATGGCGTGATTATGCCGTTCTCCCCCAGGCCTGGTCAGTCTGTGAGCCGATCCCGGAGCGAATCCGAAACTCTCAATGATGAAAAGCCCATCAGCAGGCCAATTTTTCTGCCTGATGCTTTGTTTTTTTGTGTGGGACGAATACTGGCTACAGACGCATTCCTCGAGTGACTGGAGTTGATGGTGTCGCGTTGCGCTTAATGGCCATCAAATGGCGAAACAATGGCATGCACTTCGTTGCGAAAAACGAGCTGTATCGCAAATGCACTAACTTTCTACGCATGTTCTTCCATGTGGCTTCTGGAAATCAAAGGCTCGTATATTGACGGTGCTCTGGTGCACTTTTTTGTGTCTACTTCGAAGGCATAAACCAATTTTCCAATGTCCGAGACCTAGGTAAAGTTTTTTTTTGTTGCATCCGGCGGATAAGTGCATGCATTCCCATGTATATCCAGGCAATGAAAAAATAAATATCCCGGCATTAAAAATTTGGGCTATTTGAGGAAGAAATCTCAATTCGTTTGAGAATATTGAGAAGCAGATAATGAGCCACACCGACATAAAAAAAACTGCACTCCTGTAGTCGTGCAGTATCCATTTTCAAAAATCTTGAAAATGCAAAAATCGCTGCAAAATTTTCCACAATTGGAGAATCGTTCGCTGCCGCGGCCAGAAGTCTCAAATATTTTTTTATTAGTGTAGGTTTCTGGGAGGGGATTTTGCTCAGATATTTTCAGCCAGTCCACGAGGCAGATTCGTGGTGAGCAGCAGGGTCAGAGACCTTAGGATATTACATTCGCCGAAGTGTCGCTTTCTGGGTAAAATTGCGCCATAACACATGACGAAAGCTGAACCCTGTCACAACTTAAACCCAGCTTAAAATTAAAGATTCCAACGAATTCCAGAAGAACAGCGCATTTCGCACTGAAGAGGCTCCTCGGAAAGTAGAAAAGAGAATAATGTTGTACCTGAATTTTCGGGCTAATAACTGAATGTCATCACCCGGATAAACAAGTATCACAGATGATCGAAAATTATAACAATTTCCTAGAAGATATTAATAATGTACGCATTCGGCGATGGCCTGGCAAGATATTCGAGATATTCCCGTTTATAAGGAAGAGCACCTTATGATATTTATTTCCTGCTCTCATGAACCTTTCGTTTAAAAATGCATGACCTGCACTTAATTGCTTCTCTAATTTCTCATGCCATCAAATATTTGTATTCCCGAAATTGTGCTGCCTATCTAAAACTTACGACATGATTTGTGGTTTTTATGAATGTTCCTTCGAACTCCTAGCAAATCTGGAGGAAATTCAGAGACTCGAATATGAGCAACTTATACAGTTGTTCAAATGTAACATTTATCGACGTATGATGGAAAGGACTAGTGTAGTGTATTCTGGAAATTCAAGTACGAAGGGCAGTAAAAAACATGATTACGATCAGCATTGCTTGTGGTTTGATGCCTACTCCATTTTTTGAGGAAATAATAGCATGAGCATTTCATTCTTCCTGTTTTTCAGAATGTACAAGAGAAGTTCGCTGGCGATGATGGTCGTCTCGACTTGGGTCTCGGCTTTTGTTTTCCTGCTGCCGACGTTGCTGGAAAAATGGGGGAAATTCGGGCTCGACTTGGAAATCGGAAGCTGTTCTATTCTTCCAGTGAATGGACAAAGTCCGAAGGTAATTTCCGCTCGCTTACGAGCCACATATCCACTTTTCCCGGGATGCACGTCGATGCAGTTTGTGCCGTCATTCCGCGGATCCTCGCATAAGCCAGAGCGATTCTTTACTGGTCCTCGTTAGTGCGGAAGAAAAGAAAGTTCCTACTTCGGTACTTACGAGTCTCCTGGCATAAATTCTGGTACTACTAAATCACATCAGCGTGGGCGAGTTCCTCCTATTTTTTTGTCTTCTCTCCTAATTTTATGGATTTTCCTTGCCAATGGGACTCTCCTCCTACGAGCAGCTCTTCTTCTTCTCATACCACGTGCAACACTCTATTTACTTTGCCAGAGCAGTAATCACATTTTCAAAATAGGTACAGCCCTATCCGCTACGAAGTAACGTGTCCTTGGTCGACATGCTTGGAATTTTGACAGTGTATCAGAAAATTGTGAGTTGATGATGAGCTAGAACAAATGTTGGGATTGCAATACCTTAAAAATTTGAAGAATCGGAAAAAGTGTGCAGATAGTCTTGTACTTGTAGATGAAATGTGGGAAGCCCTTCTATTTTGCATTGCACGGACAGTGCGTGACTTGAATTTACAAGACAGGTTTCAGATTTCGGCGCCTAGTCAAATTTTCACACTTTATTCACACAATTGTATTTCGTTTTGAACTCGAGTTCTTCACTTGATTTGGTCCTAGCAAAACATGGCCAGAATTCCACCATATCTTCCACTTTTTTTTCCCCATCCGATTTTGCCACAATGTATCATTGAAGCATAAAGTATAAGACAGCCACCGGTTCCATGAATTTTTTCAACACTCAGGGAAACCGCGTTTCTTAAAAAAAAGTTCAAAAATCTCTTCTATCAGAAAGTTCTGATCAATATTGTCAGACACTCCATATTGCTCCAATGCCTTCAATCGTGAAAGATCATCATTCCGAATCAAGGCATGCGTGGAAGAGGAAATTAGATGTGATATGAGGCCGAAAATTGCCCGAATAAATGCGGGAGATTCGTCCACCAACGAGTACACACACCCAAAAGTAATTCAATACATTTCTTTATTTATACAATAGTTTTTTCTTTAGAATATTGATTCGCAGGTTTCCATGCGGAACATAATTTTTACTAGCCGTACGTTCAAATTAAATATTCGATGGAAAGCGTGACGAATATTGCTGACTGCAAATATTAAAAAATTCCATGTGCAGTTATTGTCGAACTCGGCCTTTTCTGATGAGTCCGAAATTGAGCTTATACCGAGATATGATGTATTTGCAGGAATTTTTGTTCGTGGTCGCATTCGCACTGCCGTGCATCGTCATTATAGTATGCTACGCCAGAATATTCCTCATAGCGAGGAAAGCGGAGAAGAAAGTGAACAGAGGCGCCAAACGAGGGCCGAGGGTGTCAGCAGCCATTCCATCGTCGTCAACCACGACGACTACGGGACCATCAACGTCGTCAACGTCCACGACATCAACGACACCAGCGACGAGGAAATCCCGGATACCGAAGCTGGGCTTGATCGTGCGGGACAAGTTGTCCAAGGTTGCAGCGAGCCCAGCGAGGAATGGATTCAGCGGAACAGACGTAGAAACGGACGCAGCGACGCAAAATTACGTTTTGAAAATCGAAGACAAAACCGGGGTCACGTTCGTACAGGGGCCCGTCCGAGTCGAGGTCAGCGCCATGCTCGAGCCAGAGGACTCGAAACCAGATGACAGCAACGGGGAGCCCTCGCCGAAATTGCCACAGCACCAGGGCTCGGCGGTCCCTGCTGGGATCTTGCTGTCGTCGGAAGACGACAAGCCGGAACAGGACAAGATTGCCACGTTTGCAGTAGACGTCATCGAGATGAACAGCGGGGTCTCGGCGTCTCCTGCACATCCGGCGTTTTCAGCGCCGGTCCTGGACGAGGTGACTAGTTTCCAGGAGATGCCTGTTGAGGATCCGGACAGTGTTACCAACCCGCGACTCGTGTCCTGTCTCGGCGTCAAGCGAAACACAGCCACCGGCATGTCAGTCAACTTCACCTTGTCGTCCATCCGCCGCACGGCGTCCAAGTACAAGCGCGGCTCCTTCCGCACCGGGCTTTCCGCCAAAGACGTTCGTCTCCTCAAGATGATCCTCACTATCTTCGTGGCTTTCGTGGCGTGTTACCTGCCAATCACGACTGTGAAGGCACTCGGCAAGGAAGCCGAGTGGCCGATCGCGTCCGTGATCTCCAACCTACTCATCTACCTGACCACGTGCATCAATCCGCTCATCTATGTAGCCATGAGCTCGGAGTACCGATTGGCTTACAAGAATTTGCTCACTTGCAGGTCCGACCGCGAGTGCAGCACGCGCAGCTCGTCGAAAAACACTTGAAGCGACATTCCGAGGAGATTATTTTCGAACGAATGGGGGTCGCTGTTTTTCGGTTGTTTCCTGATTTCCTAGAGAGAAACATGGACCCGGCAGGAATGCGTTCATGGAGTTTATCCGACAACAGCGATCGGAACACCAGGTATCTTCAAACGCATTTGCCGATGTGATGCGGCGCGACACGAGCGAATGAGCGCGTGCGTGCGAAAAGTCGTTCCGTTTTGTTTGTCTTTTGCCTTCAACGTGTTGATTTTGTTTATTTATTTTTGGCATCACGGCCTGAGCTCGATGGGGCTATAGGTGTGAAACGCACACACGTCCGGACTCATTCGCCGAAACTATTCATTGTCGCAGAAAGGAATTTTTCGGGTTACGTCCCACAGACGTTCCTCTTGGAACACCTGCCAGACTCATTCGGACCGAATCTTTTTTGTGCGCAGATTTGCTATTCATTCGGAATATTTTTCGAGGTATCCGAAGGAGAAAACGCGCGTCAGCATTCCTCTCAAGGAACTTCTTCAATTTGCGCTGCCAATTTAATGGTGATCGAATTTTTTGTCAATGAGTTTTACACATTTTACGGCACAACGACCATTCATGCCTTTTCGGAAATATTGAGTCGTTACTCGGGCATCGGAGCATGATATGGAATGAAAGAGCATTGCGTTAATAATGTTTTGCGATGGTTTTTGTTTCGAACACCCAAAGGTCGAGTACTTGATTGAGGATTCATGGTTGCTATTGTTCGGATTCTTCGTCCTCTCTCGCTTTTTATTATGAAACATTTTCTATGTGACTGTTACTGTACCTTTGATCCGCACATTTTCATAATGTCACTCGAGTAGGTATATATCTTCATACGTTTCCTCATCTTGTCAATCAATTTGGCAAGGTTCACACATGGGCCCGTTCCATGGTCTGTTCTCTATTTTCAACTCTTCGCGTTTCTTTTTCTTCCGGTAGAAAAAAGTTATCCGAATCCGAGCGATGAATGGGTGATTGCAATGGCCGGAATTGATGTGAATCTGTCCCATGCGCTTTGATATGGACATACAAGAACTACAATAATTTCCAAAAATGTTCTCATTCCGATTCATCACATCTCGCGATATCATAATTGGTGTTCCTGTCTTCTTTGAAACAAGTAATCATGACTCCTATTCGATCACACGGTGCGTCATGAGTTTTCGTGACGCAATCATGCGATTTTGCCATGTTGGTTGCTCCCGAAGTGCACATAATTTTCCAATATGAGATGAATGAAGTGATAATCACGACTTTCATAAGAAGCATAATATGGCTAGCACTGTGTACCAGTGAAAGAAAGATGGCGGTAGCTCTTCATCCGTGAATACCGATCATCAGGTTTCCCAGCCATTTTAATCTGTTTTTACAACCACAGCTCATTAAAATGTAAAAGGAAATTTTCCAATTCTACGTAATGCTTTCACAGAGAACTCGAGTTGCTGGGAACGTATTCTGCATACTGTAGTGCGGGCCGAAATCTATTTTAGTTTTCCGGATGCATGGATATGATCGTGGTCTGAACTACTGGAAGAAATTCGATGCCTCGCAGTGATTCCAGTTCACGTCATCTTCTCCGTGTTTCACCTCTGTCATTCTCCAACATTTTTCTTCAATTTTGGGAAAAAACAATACTTTGACCTCCATTCCAACGCTAAGTTTGCTTTTTATAGCAGTTGAGGAAATTGAGGGCTACCCATGTTCTGATTACTCAAGCACATCCTGCCGCGAAACGGCTTCTATTGGAAACGATACAATTGAAAAATATATATACATCTTTCTACTTTTGAAACTGCTTTTCCCCGGGATGTGAATGTATTTGCGAAAAAGAGAGGCATGTACGGAAAATATCTTGAAGAAATCTCTAAGAAGTGAGGACAGACATCCTGCCAATAAGTCTCTGAACTTCAGTACTTCGTATAGGTTCATGACTAGAATACATAGCCTAAACTATGCGTTCGAAATTTCGTCTGGGGCTCAGGATGTCAGTCTGCAGACCAATAAGCGTCTACAACTTTTGATGACACTTTTTCATAACGTATTGCGCAATTTATTGTTTTCTCGCGTTATACAACGAAGAGACCAGGCTTTTCACGAAAGAGAAGTAAGGAAGCAGAACAGAGATATATAACGAGAGAGAGCAAAGCCTGATCGTATCATTAACAATAAAAATTGCTCAAAACCGATGTTCGAGCACTGAGAACTTCTATAGAAAGGAGGAATACGATTACTCATTCTACGACACAGTGATATAGCGATTCAAACCGTCGCGAATGAGACAAATTGCGGAGAGTTCGCGAAAAGTCATGTGCAGAACAATAGTTTGGCAACGAATGAAACAAAAAAATCGCGTTAGCAACACACGGCGAGGAAAGATTCGCGTCGGGCGCAGGAAATGGCACCTACAAGGTCTGCACCGACAGTCAAAAATAAAAAATACAAATAATTAGACTCCGTCGATAACACAAAATCGCCTCCCTTGATCGCGAACTATTGGCACAGTTTATGATGAAATTCTTTCAATGCTTCCTGTTGCTGATCCCATCTCAGAGAGATTTATCACCCCGACACCCAAAAAGGAAGCGAATAAAAACGGAATTCGTTTCATTCTTTGTCACGATCACTCTCCGCTGAGCGGGATGGAAAAAAATACGCGTCGGACCGCATTCAAACAAAAAGCGTATCTCATGAAAAAAACAAAACACACACACACAGTCCAGTGGTCAGCAAACCACAGCACTCACTTAGGCACCACAATACTGCTGACAAATTCGGTGCCCGTAATCGCCTTTGCAGGAAAAAGAACGAAGTCACTGGAAGCAATTTTCACATGGTCATGGAAAGGGCAGGACTGCTGACTTAATGGCACACACGTTCAGCTGTCGAAAACCTCGCAAAAACAAAGTGCAACCCTACCATGATGAGCAGCACTTGATGCTGCCTGTCTCTCTCCATCACAATTCCTTCCGATCTCTGCTCAGCGCCGCAGCGAAACGCCCGAAAGCCCATTTCCAAAACATTAAGCATTATTATCGCTTAAAAAATCTCACGTGCCCGAGTATTATGGTCTCGACGAAACAAAAACAATATGTCCCCAATCAGGCACCATTTCGCGCAGACATGTTAAATCCGTTTGTTTCACGCCACACAGCGTTTTCTTCGAAAACGAAATTTTTTTCAAAGAAAATCATGGTGCCGAAAACTTGGGAGTGATTCAATGATCCGAGGGTCCATCTTGATATGGGCTAGGTGTTTCAGTTACAGGTGAACCAAAATCAGGGGTGCCACCCGCTGATTGCTCAGGATGTCGAACAACTCCCGGAGTAGGCTGTTGCTGCATGAGGGCCACGAACTGCTGCATCAATTGAACTACAACCGGATTTCCCATCTGCATCGGTACACCTGAAAAGAGCATCGAAGGAGACATTATTTTGAGTCTAGAACAGTATTCCCCAACCCGTTTTTGCCGGTCCAATTTTGCCGGTCCATTTTTGCCGGTCCATTTTTGCCGGTCCGCTGGAAATTTTCAGCATATCACATGTATCCGAAGTAAGGAATGAGTTTATCTTATCTTTACCTAAAATTTTGTAAAGGACAATGGCAGTTGAAATTTACTGATAATAAAAGTTGGCTTTTCGCTTGACACCTCAGAAAAATGTTCACCTTCTGAAATAAATACGGGTAATTTTAATGTTTTCATTCTCAGGAAATTTTCTTCAAGCCAAATTTTCTATTTTTTTAAACATTCAACTATAGCTGCTTCATTGATGCTCAACTCAATTTTTGCAAAAAGCAGAAACTTTTAAAGACCTGCCATTAAGTCTTTCAAGCAAAACTTTTGTGAGCCTGCAAAATTTTACGAAACTTTGCAGGTCCTCATACATTTTTTTGGGAATTTGCTGGTCCGAACGGGTCCAAAAACGTTGGGGAAAACTGGTCTAGAACAGACAATTTACATTTTCGGACGCATAAAGATACACTTCGTTTTCCCATCAATATATAATGTAACCCGAAATAAGTTAACCCGGAAGTTGACTTTGAGTGTGTACATGTGATGTTGACCATCTAGCGATGTTTAAAAAGGTCACTGGGATTCGTTCCAGGAAAATCGCTTTAAATCCTATTAAAATGTACAAAATTTGAAAACTGCGATAACAAACCCATCAAAATTTATAATATATAGACATGCATAGTGTATACTGTATATGCGTATGCATCTAGCTGGTGTCCATTATATGAGGACGTATAACCTCACACAAGTATACAGCAGTACTACGTGTTCCTTATTCAATACATTACCTTCATTCACTGACTATTTAACTGTTGGTCAACAAGCCTCAGTGGCGGCGGAAACAAAACAAAAACAAAAGCAGCCTCGATTCCATTTACATTATTCTACGAAAATGTTGCATTGGATGTCCAAAAAGTGGCCGGAGACATATGTGTAGAAATAATGCCGCTTGCACGGTGCAAAACAGAAAGAAGCGCAGTTAATTTCATAATTAATTTTAAAAAAAATTTTTGAAAATACAAACCCTCAGTTTTTTCATAGTTGAATGAATGTTACCATTGGTCACACAAAAACTGGAATAAAACGACAGGATGAAATTTGAGATCAGACATGCTGAAAAATAAAGCGCAAAAAGTTGGCGTTCCTTGCGTAAAGGGTAGCCCAGGACACTCTGGGCAAATTTTAAACGAATATACATTATTAAATACTTTGAAAGCTAAACAAATTTAAAAGGTTCATTTATTATACTTAATCAGAAACAAACTTCTATCGATTAGTTATGACTAGCAAATGATTGGACTTTTTCACCTAACTCTGGCCGCAACAATTGCTATTTGGCCAAGTGAAGAAGCCTCATGTTGAAGAATTTTTCGAAAACGTCGAGCCTTGACTCAAACGGCTATACTGTATTTTAAAAATGTAGCATTGCTGAAAAGATGACTTTTCTGTAAGAAAAATGTCCCCTAATCGTACTTCGAGAGTAAAATACAGTGCGTTAATTGAGTTTCCTGTTACTATACTGTACTTATTTTAACAGTTTGTTTGGCCCAATGACATTAAAATGCCAACGAGTGTAGGCATTCGTTTTTCATCAGAAGATGAAGAATTTGAGTTGGTTCCAGCCACGACGTGAATCTGCCATCAGAATTTCAAGACACGGTAATCAGCGAACGATTGAGAGATTCCGCAGTGGCACGATTCCAGAAATCCAACGAACTTGGCACAGAAAACCCGACGTCGCTCGGTTCAGATTCATAAAAAAAATCAAGCCTCACCTGTCATGGGAAAAGCAGGACTAGGTCCCATGACGGGAGCGAATGACACAGGTCGTTGACTGACGGACGCGGAGGACGAGTGACCTTGCCCGTCACCCGCGTAAAATTCAATCACCCGGCCGAGCTCGTCGCGGGACAGCATCGCCGCATGGCCGAGGCGTTGCAAAAGACCTCGTTTTTCTCCCTCGGGGTAAGTTGGGTCTATATACAGCTTGTTGAACAGCTGAGAGACCTTCCGTGACACACACATCAAGTCCGAAGTTGCCTTCTCGCAAAGTTGACGGTTCACTGTTGATAGAAAAAATTGCGTATTTTTGTGTGGACTCAATCAGCAAGTGCGGTATTCACGCATCGACGGAAAATCAAAAAGCCTCATTCGACTCTTTGATCAGCCCATTTATACGCAAATTTTAATGAGCATATTCTTGTATTCAAGTGGTCCCCATGATTTAATTAAAAAAAGTAAAATTCACCTTTTTCGAATTGTATCATGTCATACGCGAAATTTCTTTATTTCACGAGATAGTTCTTCGGAATCGGGCAATTGAAAAGTCGCCAATAGAATAACATGGGAGATGAATGAAAAGCTGGAATGAATTTCTGATCATGAAAAATTTCGAACTGATTATCGAGAGGAATGCAAATGAGAAAGACGTATTCATGTAAGGTGCCACGAAAATCTAAAAAAAAAAACGGTTACGGTTCTTGCGTTTATTTCGAATGACTCTCTTGGAGGTCTCGCGGCTATGAGAAGCCAAGAAAATACGATCTGTACAAAGTTCATGCTTTATAAAGTCTCGACATGGTAATGTGATGTATTTTAATACATCGAATGGCAATTATTGGAGTAGTGATTTTCCTTTACTCACAAAATCAGTGGTTACGGCTTTGGAGTGAGGCGAAAAATGTGAGAGCAGTTATCCAAGATACTATAAAAAAACATTGGAGCAGTTGAAGCAGTATGCAGAAGAGCATGAATATGATAAATTTAAATCAGCAGCCCGGAAATTGCTTGACAGCTTCCAAATACTTCACATAGATTCACAATACTGTATTATAATTCTGTATTTTCATCCCCACCACGAAGGACTGCATTTTTTTAAATCAAGCAGTATTTACCCAAATTATCCTCCAGTTTTTGTCTGCTTCTATCTGAGGCAGATTTAAGGTAATTTCTAAGACTTCTGGAATATTCTTCGATGCAAATCACGACGGTACCCGGAAAAGGAATCCGAAATATTTTATTCGAGTGCAATCACAATGATAGGATCTGGGATTTGAACCAGTCCAGACAAATATACTCGGAATGTGTTGCAAATTCAGTCACTAGAGCATAAAAATAATTCAAGAGGCCTTGATGGATTACCTGGAGGATGTTTTCGACGATGGGATGAACTGTCGTTCACATTCAAGGTTGTTGGTCTTGTAGATTTTCCCTGACGTTCAGGAGTCAATCGATTATTCAAACTTTCCATGGAATCTCTGGATAATTCAAGCTGACTTCCTCCGAATTTATGAGGATCTTGTATCCGTGATCGCCTCCTATGAAAGAAAAATATAAGGTCATCGAAAGAAAGAAAATCACAGAATCTAGCGGGAAATCGATATTGTCATTCAAAACTTGAGAAGACGCGCGCTTTCACTGCAAATGGATTATTTGCCTATAAACATAACATGAATCCAAAAAATCGAAGAATCTCGAGATTCATCGATAAAAGCTCACTGAATATCAGAAATAATTGTAAGATTGAGGAAATACTGTATACCTCTTTTCGCGACTTGAGCTGATTTCAGCAACAGCGGATGAGGTGTTGAATTATATGATATATGATATTATATATCATATATATAAGGTGCCGGATATGATTATTTACATAATAAGCCGAGCATGATCTACCTTTATACAATTTTCAGATCCTGAAAATCCATCAGCAGCTTGTCATTTTTTTCTTAATCAGGAAACGACTACTATGATTTTATTGTACCCATTTTCAAAGGTCATTAGTAGCTGCTGGTGCTTCAACTTTGGTAACACTTGACTAGGCAAAATTTAAAAGTCATTTAAAAAAGCATGTAAGAACTTAAGTTTGTCGGAAACACGGATTCATCAACATTTAGCGCTGTCGGGGTTCTTGAATGAACTTCTGGATAGTCTAGAATATTGACATATGAAGCAATCATTCAGGTTTGCGAGGGCTCCGGAGTCTTTTTGGATTTTTTAAAATAAATTAATTTGAAGGTTTCAAAGACGGAAAGTTTCGCCTCGTCCGGAATACATTCAACTTCCACTGACCCTAAAGTGAAATTCTCCTCCGAACTCGATGGATCATCGGCACCTCGGCGATGACGAAGGTCGCCAATTGATTGCGAAGAAGATAAGCCGTGGCTTCGAGAACGTCTTCGTGCCTTCGAAGCACTGCTTCCTTCCTCAACATTAAGTCGGGAGCCCGAAGCCATTAACCCTCTCTGTTGACGTACACAAAATATTGAAATCTGAAATCTTTTACAGGTGGACTCTTCCTCTCTTCAGAGAAATTCAACGGACCAAAAAAAAATCGGTGAAGCGAGAATTTAGTCTTCGAGAACTTCTATAAGTTGAGGAGAAAATCCTATGCTCCTATGGGTCCAAAACAAAATTTGTTACACGGAAAATATCGTTCTGAAATAATCGTTACAGAAAGAGTCCACCTGTACTTGAAGTTTTTGAACACTTACGGCCTGAATATTTCCGACCGAGGGTGACCGCTGACGATGTTCGACTTGCACTCGATCTTGAGACGTTTTCTTCCCTAGAATATCAGCACATACATGTTCAACGGAATTTTTCAAATATTTTTCATGCATTTGTGGAAAACTGAAGTCACCAGCACGGCAAAAAATGACTAAGAAGGCATGCTTGGTAAAGTTCAAAACATGCAAACCAACATCCTCCACCACAGATATAGCAGAAAACTCAAAAAATAAAGGTCGAAGCACGACGCCATATTCTCTGAAAAAAGAAATCCTTGTAAGCAGGAACTAAGACCTTTTTTTTTTACTATCAAGTGTTACAGCCACTTCAAAACCAAAGATCGAAGGTCACTCAGTACGTGACCAATTCCAGAAATATTGCAGCTCAAATCACGCGTTCTACTCGAAGGGCTAGATCTATCCGGTGTTAATGACCCTCGTACCTTCATTCGAGATTAGAATTTTCGGCGTGCAGACCGAAATCACCAGCCAATCTTGGCACTCATCTACGTTTAACATACCCTGTGTGGGAGGAGCAGGTAGAATACGTCTCGGGACTGACAACGGACCGGTCAGGTCAGAGAGTGAACACGCCCTACGCATAATGCCACTGTCTCTATTTCCTGAAACCGAAACGTAACGTTCTAAATGCAGAAACAAATAGCACAGCAAACTTAAAATTAGGAAAATATCGATGCTGCTCATCACTGAAACTCAGAATCATGCGAAGCAATTTTATAAAGCAATTACCGCTGTCATCGCGGGTCGCACTCCTATGCATGATCCGCTTGAAATTTCAAAAATGGAAGCCTTTTCAAGATTACGTGTAAAACGGTGATTCTACCACATGATTCCGCGCTATTATGCACAAAGACACGCTAATAATTTGAGTGTTATTAATTATAGTGAAATTGGCATAAAACTTTAGTTAGAACAATTGGGGAAAGCTGGAAATCGTGGTATCACCCAGAAAAAACAAGTTTTTGACGCCCGAGAAAATAATTGAAATATTTTCGGCCTTTCGAAAACTTTCATAGTCATCGTCAATAGAGCTTGAGAAATTTTTGGCATCTTCAAAAAGAAAATGAATGTCTCTACATTTTCCGCATTCGATTAAAAAGTTCGCATCTGGATTTGTATACTAAAAAAATAAAATAAAATATTTTTCCAGGAGCCACACGCTACCAGCTGATGGTCGCTTATTTTTCGATTTTTACTTCGTTTCCTACTGTCGAATACTCTTTCGATAAAAATTAGGGTTCTTGTTCATAATTCCCGGAAGCACGCATGTTTTTGTGGGTCCGTACCAGCGTGTGAAACACGTATAATTTTATTTTTATATAGAGACAGCTATCGGCTAAGTATACACCGGAAAAGCGTGCGTTAAAAATCGTAAAAGTTATTTCCTTTTTGAGATATTACGAGTATTTTTGCTGAAAAAAGTGCACGGACGTACGTGTTCTTATCCAGTACTAAATACGGACGCGAAGTCCTGGAGTAATTTCAGCAATGAGGTTCTATTTGCTTGAACTTGGATGTGCAACGGATCAGCCGAAACTTTTCTAGAATATCGTAAATACCTGATCGATTACTCGGTGACTTCGTTGCCCCCGACGCGAAAGCTCGTCGTGAATGATTTCCGTTCGACTCGATATCCGAGTCCACGGTTCGGCTCAGGTCAGAAATGCTCACGCTGCCGCGAAGTCCCGGACGTCCCAACTGACAACGAACATCGGTAATTATTTTTTTCAACAGAAAATCACGAAGAAAATCAGATTCGTTCAATGGATGGATAACTCACACTGTCCAACTTTCGCCGCGTCTCTTCGATCTGCCGTTGGAGCTCAAGTCGGCTGCGACGAATTTCTCGCTGTTGCGGCTCTTGCTGCAGCGCATCCAGTTTCCTGACGCTTCCGCTCGCTTGAGAGTCCGCATAACCAGCAGGAAGAGTTTCGTTTTGAACACTTAATGAGATTTTCAGATCGAGGTTTTGCGCAGAATCCTTCAGGACGGAGGGCTTCTCCTGCATTGGGCTTCGCACGGAAATCGACTGCTGGTTCCCGGCATCCAAACTCTCATAACTGGAAGACAGCGGTTCCGCTTTAGTATAAAATCTACATCACCCACGCACCCAATTAGTTAGTTTTGCATATCCTGCATAATTCCACGGTATTCGGCGTCCTTGCATATCAAAGATTATCACCATGGACAAATTTAAAAGTTCATGAGCAATGAAGCAACAAAGAGAGGGGAGTGTTGAGTGGATGGTCAGAAAAATTACATTCTTTCTCTTTTCAATACAATATCACATATTTCGGACTCAATTTTGCATTTTGGTCATGACTTGAATGACATTAGGGTGCTTCTGTGTTTTTTCCGCTCCCAAAAAAGTTTCCTTCGATAATAAATCCTGTACACTACGATAAATATTCCTTAGCATACATAATTATTATAAAGATTTTGGGCTTGATGATTTCCGTGATAATATACATCTTAGTTTTTGAGAGAGGGTGATTAAATTCTTTCCATTGATGATATTCAAATGCTCTCCGACGAAGTCGATAATCACATTTATTTCATGTTTTCTACTTTGATATCCCCATTTCATCAAACACTTTTTATTGTGTACAGTAGGAGTCACTTGTCATTTACAGGTGCCCCGCAATTCGACCCTAATCCGTTGCCGGGTATAAGAGTCGAATTGTGAAGCGGTCGAATTACGAGACGATGTCAAATTCGATGTTTTCTACATCGAATTTGAAATTTTGAGTCTCTTTGCAGGTCACATAGCTGGGCAAAAGGTCGAATTGCAAGTCGACGTCCCAGCAAATTCGACCGTCGAATTGCGGGACGTCGACATGCATGTGAGGTGCCACTTGCACTGTAATGTATAGTAATAACATGTTGACCCTCACTCGGACAGATTTGTGGATTCTTGGGTAATATTGCAAACAAATTGCACTAAATTAACTCAAAGAAGGTGACCGTAAGAGTGAAACCCCGAAAATTTTCACACTTTTTGCTCAGTATGTAAAAATTGGAAATATTGTCAATAAATGATTCAATACGAGGAGTTGATCTGTCATGTATACCTCACACTAACGCCATGATCAACGCTGGGAGTTGAAGCTGTGGTTGATTGCGCATGTTCACTCCAACCCTTCTGGATTTGTCCACCGGATTCTCCCTCCAATTCCAGATCACTGTCTAGACTTCCAGAAAACGACGTCGACGAGACATTTTGCAAATCGTTCGGGAGTCCGTCCGATTGACTTTCTCGGCGCAGCATCTCCTCGTTTGCTTCCATGACAGTGTAAGAGCTGTAAAAGACCAGTCAACCTTTGAGTAATTGTTCATAAATTCCAAGTATGGGTTGCAGTGAAGTCGAAGGGTCCTTCACTTCCCGCTTGAACAGTAACAGGTATAATTCAGATAGCGATCAAATTTGCTCACGTTTGCGAGTCGCGACACGTAGGAACGTAAATCGGAATGTCATAAGAAAATCCTTCGCCGTATTCCTCGGGTTCCGAGAAGTCCTCGTCAATGTCCCCTTCGTGGTCCGCCTCGTCATCCTGCAATTTCATGAACCCATGAAAACTTCAATCAAACAGTCATTGACGAAAATTCCCGGGCTTTAATAACATCGTTTTCTAATAACCGAATTAGAGCCCATTTACGCCAGACTGCCCCCTGAATTAGTCATTCGAAGGCATTTATTGCGTAAATTAATTAAAATCTCATTCTTACCTCCCGCGGAAAGCTGGTGACGCTGCTTTCATCGGTCGGGTGCCTCCTGTTCTCTTTGTCACTTCCGATGGATCGCGGGGCCTTAAATATAGCATTCCATAATTACGGGCCCTTTCTCAAAAAGATCCGCTTATGCTCATGAGTATTAAGCACCTTACTTCGTCGTGAAACCGGCAACTTTCTGTGATTACCGACCAACTACACTACGAACCTCTCAATAAAAGACGCTCAATTTTCTATCACACAGAAATATAGATACCCAGTAGAGTACAGTACATTATATAAATCACTTTCTCTCTCTCAATAAAAAAGCACGCGCGCACAAATCTGCGCAGACAAAAGACGCAGAATAGTAAGTATGATTATTCGGTTTTTAAGTTGAAGTGTTCGTGCTAGCATTGTCAAACAGCTGGGGCGTTAAAAAATGGTATTAACATATTTCGATTAACATGATACTACGGCATTCATGCTGAAACAGAACTGTCTTCTCGAGAAAACTGCATATGAAAAAGGAAGGATTACGCCGCTGTAAAAAATAGCACGAGAAGTCCGTTCATGCAAATTATTCGTACACACGATCGCATGAACCAGGAAGCATAAAAACTTGAGTATCAAAAACTAACCGTTCCGAGCATCGGGGCGCTCGTTTCAGTGTTGCTTTCGAGGGAAGAACTCTCTTTGGACGACTCGGAGTCATTCACGCCTGAAATAAGGGGGATTTTTTCATTGCGCTACTTTTTTAAAGCCAAAAATATGGCAAAAGCTCACCGTTCGCGACAGGGGCTGTGGGGAAGGGTATGGATGTGTCCGAAAAATGATGTGACCGCACAGTCAAGGATTGCGACTGGGAGCTGTCGATCCTTTGAGCCCATCTGCCTTTCGGGAATTCGGAACCATGAGCTTGTCCGTAGGCACTGCTGGTGCTGATGTTCAATTGCGACGAATTCAAAGAACCCGGGTTCTCGATCTTCTTCTTGGCCCATGACGGCAGCTGACCGATGCTGAACCTGTCAGAAAATATTCATCAAGAACGTCACGAGCTCTAAGCTCAAGATAAAAAAAAAGCTTCATTATGGAACGCACTACGCGAAATAGAACAAAATGCGGGGTTGAGGAAAATATTACGGATGAGGACATCAAGGGAAACTCAAGGACGACGGGACACTCACTGGTACTGAGTTTCAACTTCCTCTGTCGTAATCTTCACATTTCCTGATGAATTCCGCTGATTATCTTTCGCAGCCGACAAGGTCGCTTGTCGCAATGGAAATTGGAGTCCGCCGCTGCCGAATCAGACATCAAGAATGAACTAGCAATTCATCAGAGGATTATTTTTCTACCTTCCGAAGTAATCTGGAAAATATTTTCCCTTCATTTGTGCACATATACTCGCATTAATGCAATTATCGACTGCTGGAGACTACAGGCCGCCTTCTGATTATTATTTTTTTTTGCAGCTGGTTTGATGGGAGAAATTTGTTATCGTCACGAAAGAATTCGAGGTTAAAAATTGAAAATTGTGGTATCTACAGGAGCAACGAAACCATTGGGACCTGGAAAGCTTTCTTCAATGCAAATTTTGGAACTGTATTTCGAAACACGAATAACATAGTGGCCTTTTTTGTAGTATCTTCAAAAAAACTTTGCTTTGAAAAATAATGTTGCACAACGAGATCTGTTGGAGCACGATTCTACTCTATGTACTTCACGCTGGAAACACCTGCAAGTACAGTATTCCAAACAACAACAAAAAACAGAAAAATTATTTTTAAAAAGTAACTATTGTTTATATATTTACGCAAAAGAATACGGTTCAGCTTAAAGGTTTTCAGAAAAAGAAAATATGCAGTATTACGGGGATTTTGAAATACTTAAGTATACCCATGAAACAACAGCGTGACCCATATTCGAAAATCTCGCCTACATTATTATTTGCATCCGAGTTTTTTCGGTGCTGTTTTTGGAAAAAGTACCGAACGGACCATGATCGCGAAGGTACGTAAATAAGTGAATATAAAAGTACAAACTTATCTGGAACTTACGTGAGGCGTATGCAGATTAAACATAGAGGTTCATGAAGAATATTGCATAAAAGTGGATTGAATTTAATTCAAACGCGTGATATTTATCATGAATCGTACGGTGTTCGAAAGAAAACATACACTTCCCACTTCCGGATAGGGACAAATTATTCCTTTCCCTAAGTTATGTTTGCAGCACAAGGATGCCTTGAAGATTGTTTTTGAGGCTGAGTTGGTCAAATTTGTGATGTAAATGCGCGGCGGCGAACAATGAGGAACATTTTCCAGAGAACGAAATTAAATGGACATTGGATTCGAGCATCATACCCTTGTTTGACTTTCTTCAGTCGACTCAGCATCGCTCGCGTCATGTCAGAAGAGAGCCGCCAGACAAATATGCAGCTGTCACCTGACACAGATATCAGATGCCTGCAGTCGGCAGTGAAGAAAAGACCGGTGACGATTTCCGCGTGCCCAGTCATCATCGCGATGACTTCGCCGGAGGAATAGTCAATTAAGTAAATGGCTTTGTCCGACGAACTGGTGGCCGCGTACTGCCCGCTGGGGTCTAAAGTGACCTGCCATGTAATTAAAGCGCTCTTGATATGTTGTTTTGCCAACGCTAATCGATCCTTTCGCAGCTTAATAAGGTCAACCTTCCGAGTTCTTGGGGTTGAAAATATGCTCGTAGATTCAGTTATGACGGTGGGTCTCGCAAACGGCTTCTGTTCCCGCTATAGGCCAAGTTCATTTACGACAGCTTAAACACGAGAGTAAAAATTTCTCGTCAAGATTCTTTTCTACAAAAAGAAAGGCTTAAATCCGCATTCCTGGAATTCAATGACCTCTATCTTCTTCCCACATCTCGAGGAAATCTGTCACCGGTTTAAGTTCCGGGGGAACACATGCTGCATGAATTCCGACAGAAATTTTCAACCCTTGTTCTCTTAGCCATTAACTTCGTCCTAAGTTTGTCTCAGAACAGCACTCATCAAACTGTGCTTCGTGCACTTATCCACGGGCTCCAGGAGTACTACAACTTAAAAAATGAAAATAACTATTCCAAGACTATTTAATGTTCAAAAAGAAAAGGCCAGTCATAATGCGTTCGTGACTGAAGGCACAGGCCTTTGAGATGGGAGCTTTTAGATTTTTTTATTCTCGAAAGATTATTTGCATCACACGTAAAAAGCATTGCCACTGAATACGTCGTTTTTGTCAACAAGTTCAGCAAAATAACAGAGGAGACAATCCATCAGGGAATTAAAGACGGTTTAAATTTAAATCAAGACAATCTAAAATACTTTTCTTCCACGTGGGTAAACTTTTAAAACAAGCAATCCGTTCTGTTTTTTTTTTTTAATTTTAAAATAATATTGGATTTAGTTCAATACATGTTTTACAAAAAAACTCTCCTTGAATTTGACGATTTTTACAATTCATTGTCGCAGTCGAAAATTATTTTCAAGCAGTGCAATCTTTTTTTTCGGACGAATTGCCCATCCAAAAAGTGTACTTTATTTTAGGGCATTTCATATTTTCTGGATTGTTTGCCATCAGGAAGAGAATAAGGGCCAAAGGACACAATCGGATGATCTGTGAAGTACAACCCGCGCAGAGCCTTCCCTGACTTCAGGCATTTAAATATACTGTCCTGTATACAAAACCACGCCAATACCTTGAAATAGCCAATATGTTACAACTCATCATATTTAACCTCCAAGGAAATCTTCTTTCGAATTGATCATTTCCCTCGGTTAGCGGTTTCATTTATGTCTTAAATTTAACGTTCACATTCAACACTCTTGTTTTTTTATGCATATGGTCGAGAACCATCCAGAAATGATCTTCAGTATTACCACCAGCAGTGGTGCACCTGACACACGTCGAAAATCCCTGGCATTGCAAGTGTTAAAAGATATAGAATAAATTTCAGCATTTTTTATTTGTAGTTTACTTCTGCATTTTTTCCTTCTGGAGTTTCAAACAAAAACGGCAAGACTTCCATTGATGTCAGTCTTAGGGGAAGCCGAAAAGCCAAATGGACTCCGTCACAGACATTTCTTCATACGTACATTTACATACTCTCTGAAACGATTTTGTCTAAGAAGATTTCCTCCTAGGCAAAAATCTTTTTGTTCACTGAATATTCATTAAGAAATATCCTACCTGCATAAAGAATGGTTTTGGAACATACTGTACATTTATTGACAAAAAAAGGCTCCGCGAGTTCAATCAAATATAGAGAATCTATGCCTCAGAGTGGCTCAGACAATAGTGTTCACTTCTAGAAGGCTTTAAATTGTCCCTGTTTTGATTTTTTGTCAACTGAAATTTGCTGTATACATATAGTGTACCTTTAAAAATGAACGCTTTGAAATATACATTTACCGACTAAAAAAGAATAAGGCTACTCCGCGAGTTAAAAAAAAAAAAAAGAAAAAAAAATCTATGTCTCAGAAAATATTTTTCGCTTCTAGAAAGATTTAAATTATCCCCCCGCGTACTGCGTTGCTTCAATTTATTATTTTGTGTCGGATTGAATCGGCAAACCTTGACAAGAGTTGCTTCTTCCGAGCGAGTGCCCTTCATGTTGCGGATGGGCATTCCAGTGGACAGTTGATACACATGAATGAGCCGGTCGTTACCCACTGTGAGCAGCTTCTGGCCAACGCGGTCTATCTCCATGTCCAGTAATTTGATCCTCGCCGTCACGTCATGATACCTCGTGAAATCCACCGTTCCGTCCCCAGCATCCTATCCGCAGAAAATTGGTCGATACAGTGTGAGAAATGATTGAAATATAAAAAGAGTGCTGATGGAAGTGACCGAGCCCGTAGGAAACATAAAATGATATCCAGCAGCATCGTTCAAGCACATCGACAGATGCCGTTCCGTTTTACGACAGCTGGGAAGGTTGAATAGCAGCCGATCGTAAAAATTCCCTTGTCGCTTGTTTGAGTAAAAGGCTTGTACATTAGTTCAGCCATGAAAAACTATGAAATCTGTTCCGAGATAGCGCATATATTTTCAACCGGTTTGAAACTACTGTATTAAATTTGACCGCGCTATACTTCAAATATGTTATATACGCGTGTCCCCCTTTTAAAATTCCAGTCACGTGTTCGATTACAATTTCCCAATATTCACAGATTTCTCACATTTTAAAATACGGGGGGGGGGGGACATGAATATTTTGCCAAATACAGTATTCATGATTTTGCTCAAAGGTTCCGGGTGAATAATTTACTAGATTATAAGGTGTTCATGCTGCTTAATAAACTCGCCAAAATTTAGGGTATAATGTCACGGCATCCTCAAAGAAGTCTTGAATTTTATTCATTTTCTTTCATGATTTATTTTAAAGCTTCGTAAGAATAACGAAAAGCATGCAGATGTCATGCTTAAATATTAAAAGAAGCACATACAGGGCATAGATGCCGTTATTCTTTCATTCCGTGTCCAATGAGCATTACCCTTGAATCAACTGATTCATGTTACCTCGGAAAGCTTTGCCGCATGTTTTTTTTATCGTCATATTAAAAACTTCCCAGTTCGAAAATTTGCAAGTTGTTATGTGACGCATGTATTCTAAATAGCGAAATGAAGAATCGATGATGCATCGAGTTTACCCATGGGATTTTTTCCGTAATACAGTAGTTGATGCCGGTTTCCGATAAGCTTAAGCCTTAAGGAGATGATCATATATTGATACTGCATTTTCGCGTTTCCTCGTTCGGGTATAAAATTGTGTAATCCTTGAAAATTCCCATTCAGCAAGAGCCGATGCGTTCGAATGCTCCGAGAAGAGCGATTATTGGTGGTCATCAATAGGGCATTGAATCGTAAATAATCTATTGCGCCTTCAGTTAACAATCGATGGTCATTTCCACGAAGCCAGAGTTGTTGTATAGAAGCCAGGAAGAAAAACTCACCGGCTTGTCGAACTCCCGGAAAACGATGGATCGGTCCGAACTGCCCGACATGAGCCGGACGCCTCCTTCGCGAGGATGCGCAAAACGCAGGCAAGTGACCGCCGACGAATGGTCAGCCAACGTTTGGGCAGTGTCGTAATCTTTGTGGACCTGCGGAAAGTAATTATTTGAGCTGAAACGGACGAGAATCGTCCGCAAATGCGAGCTGCCTACCGCAAACACGTGGAGCAAACGGTCCCGGGCAGCCGACGCTAAGTAGCTCCTCGGTTTGGACCTTAGCTTCGGGGAATCCTGCAGTCCGCTGTACTCCAACGCCAAGATTTCCGAATCGTGCGCTTCGATTTGCACGATTTGTTCCATGGATTGCATGTTGTAAACCCTTTCCCAGGAAACATTTTATGGTTCATTTTAATCGAATATCCGATCACGAAATTTTCCCGAAGTACAAAATACTGCACGTCGAACTGTTCATGCATTTTTCCTTAAACGAGATACTGAGATACCGCACATCCGCAAATCTCTCTACAGGATAATAATCCGAAAAAATGCTTCAATTCTTGCTGATTTCGCGATGCTTTAGCACAGCGCTTTTCAATCTGTGACTCACATATATTATGTGCTTCTGAGATTTGTATCGTAATAAAAGGGCTTAAATCAGTACGTGGTACTCAAAAAAGAACCATGACGGAAAAAATTTGTAAAAATATATACTGTACTAACAGACATTTGGTGGAGAGAAAAATTTTAAAAATTTACTCATAAAAATATCATGAAACAAATGCACGCATTATGTGTGAAAATTTTAGAACACTCGTTGGTATGTACTAGCCGTGTGACTCAATTTGATTGCTGGAATACTAACCGAAAATTTTTCAAATCCCTGCTCCAGCATTTGCCACTAATACAGATAGACTCTCTCTCTACAACGAATTCTTTTTGTTTTTCGTCGAAGAGAACCCCTATAATTTAGGGAGAAAATCCTATGAGACCTGGAAAAAATAGTTTTACAGAGAATATCGTTGTAGACCAAGATCGTTGTCGATGAGAGAGTCTACCTGTAATCATAGTCATTCGATCAGAGCTCGCAAATAAAATCCTGCACCACGAGATACAGTTTGTTTAAACTTTCAATCCATATTCAAATCAATCATTTCTGGTGCACACTTAAGATGACCTGGTTGAAATGTTTTCTTTAGCCAGGGAAGCGTGAAATCGACAGGAGCTTTAGTCGTTTGCATAAATTGAATTGTTAGTAGTTAGTCTTACTCAATTTCATGAGTAAACGGACGTACCGAATGTAACCAGATCTATCTCCCGACGCCAAGTGCTTGCCGTCATGAGAAATTTTGATGCATCGAACGCCCTTAGATTGGTTCAACATGGAGCCTTCCGACTCCTTCTCGGACGAACCGAACAGTTTCCGGTTCACATCCCGAAGATGGGTCAAGTTCTCGTCGACGTACAATGTTTTGATCAATTCCTACAATAGGAGGGGTAACATTATATTATACTTGCGGCGAAAGTAGAATTACGATTAACTGTTTGCATCCTCCCGAATTGAAACACACGCGGAGAAAAAGTTTTCGAATGCAGCAGAACCTCCATTATACGTGCTTCGAGAAAATTCGAATTTGATTATCGATCGCCCGAAATTTGAACCCGAGGCATTCTCAGTATGGCATCACCAACTCAATTTTTCATAATACCATTTATTTTTCATTCATTCATCTCATTTCGTTCGTTAGGGCCGCTTGAAAACACACGAGGATTTTTTTTAAAGCTGTCTAAGATTTAAAGACAGATAGTTCCTGCAGAAGTGAATACTGTATTACCCTACAGTATTCTCTGAACATTATTTGTCATCTCATCTTGAAAAGATAGTATGCATATAGCTTGAAAGTGTCGCTTAGCTATTAAAGAAAGAAAGGAGTTAATGTTGCACCCTTCCACTGTGAGGAAATACGTTTCAAAAAATAAGATTTCTGAATTTCACGGCAATCAAATATTCGAAAGTGATTGAAAACTGGTTTTCATGAATTCATCTCCGATCTGGCAACAATTTAAATCACCAGGAACACATGTTTTGATCTTGACAATTTTCTACGTTGATTTTGCGAAAAGTGAAAGTTTAAGTAAAAATTAAATTATTGGACATGAGGAAATAGCCCAACAAATTCATACACTTCGAAACGAAAAACAGCTGAATGGGCAGATAACTTATTCAAGTGTTCTAATTGAACAAACTTCGTTACGAATGCTTCTGCTTCGGAAAAATGGGCGCTCAAATGAATTAATTTTAATGCTCATCACCGAGAATTAAATATCTGAACTTCCCCTAGATTTTAGGACGTTTAAATACAGTAGAAGTTAGACTTTATTTTCGATTACCTTGTTAGGTTCTTCATCGCTATACAAAATACTGTCATTACTTCGGATACGGAAGATTCTGCTGCTATTTGAAAAAAAAAACGATGCTTCAACGTGTAATTACAGGCTCTCTATATATGTATAGCGGCTTTTCTCATTAAGGACTATCAGGAGTGTTGATTTATTCGTTGACGGAGAAGTAATCAACTTTCTCGAAGAATTACAAGCTAATAAGTTCCAAGATAAGCATCGTCGGGAGGATGACAAAATCTCATTACAGATCCGCTCTGGGCATACATTTGAGTAAACGTTCCGCTTGTAGCTCGTGTTCTTCGTCATCTTTGGGTCGAGATTCCAGATGCGGATCGTGTCGTCGGCAGAACAGGTGATGAAGCTACCGGGTGGCAGCAAAGTCTTGGCCCCGTTGCCCACAGCCGGGTAGCCTTCGATGGCCCACACGCCGCCCGAATGGAACAGGAAACTGTGGCTCTTGCCCACGCGGTTCGCATGTTGGATGTCCCATACGTACAGTGAGTGGTCGTCGTAGATGCATGTGACCAGAGCGCTGCTCTCGTCGTACCTCACGCCGACGCAAGTGGGGTACCCTTCTTTGCGCGGCTCACTCGACATGTGTCTGAAGAACATCCCGTCAATCATGAGCACTTAGCCGGACCAAGTACACAAATCTCCGTGGTCAGTTTTACATACGCTCTCTCGCCGATGGAATCATGGGAAGCCCCTGGTTCGTCATCCACGATCACCGTACAGTAAATCAATTGATGTTTGGAAAATTAATCACCAACTGTGCCCTTGTGATGTCCCATACTAATTTACGCCCATGCTTACGAATGCTTTCTTATCCAACTTTTTAATCTCTCTCGCCCTCACTGGCAGAATCCGCTGAATTACCAGGTTCTGCGATTACCGTGAGTCGATTCAAGTTTGTATATTAATTATCACCTCTGCCCTTGTGGTGTCCCATCCAAATTTACTCTCATGTTAACGAATTCCCTCGTTTCAAGACCTCCTTCGTTTTCCAGGGCACGAAAATCCATTCGTACCCCGAACAAGGAAAACGCAATCGGCCACGGAATGTATTTTCATGTAGTATTTCAAACTTCGTCCTTGATCTCCCATTGAAAGGCCTTGGCCCGATCATTCAAGCACAGTTACACCGCTTTGTCGCATATGTTATCTTCAATTAGGGAACAAGTTTCCACTTCTCATGGAATCACTTCAATAACCTTACGCTCTCCCGTAATCCTAAGTTCATACCATTCACCACGCAACTCTGTTTTGGAAAAAGAAGAAAAAAACTCAACGTTTCCTGGTTCCTTGATTGATTCAAAATTTCGACGTTCGTTCATTTATCAACAAAGGCATGAAACTAAATGTGGGATCCAATCAGGAGGAATCGGAAGAATTTGCTCAATAATTTAGATTTTAGAAAATTCCGTAATCGTCGATTCAGACCAATTCTCATCGACTCAAGATAAATTGGCGGAAAGATAAATGGATACATCGCAATAAATTTTGTTCCACGAGCACGTTTTCTCCGGTATTTGACAAGAAAATAAGCAGGTGCACGCAATTTAGAAATTTAGATTCCGATTCGTTTCAATCTTTTCTCGCTTTTCTTGTTGACAAATCATCGTGTGCGTATTATCACAGAGGCGGTGCGTGGTGCAGGAAGTAAACGCAGTACTTCCTACGGATTTTTAGTTGATTTAATTTGTTTGAGGAGCCTTGAATATGTTTCGCAAAATATTCAAAATTCGGACCTTGAATCTCCGTTTCAGAATCGGTTGTCCGCCAGAAGTTCGGGAAGCGGAAATGTAGAACTTTTAAAGAAAACTAGGTTCGATATGTCACCGTCAAGCGACGGTACGTAGCGACAGACTTCGACTTTTCTCATCGCAAGCACCGGGTTCCTGTCGAGGCTGAACGATTGCAACAGCTGATCAACAACCACCCGAAGCCGTCCACGACCCGAAGAATGCCGTCCAACATCTGAACACACTTTCAAGGTGCATTGAGAAATTCTACCCGGTCTGAAATGAGGTTGCTCGTAAGAAGTCGCTCGCGCAGCTCATCAAACACGGCGCTTGACAGATAACATAACGAGAGAAATTGCTGAAATCTGCGCAGGTGAGGAAAGAAGTCCGCTAATAAATCTCGCTGAGATTGCCGATTCCTGGCAGTACCCCAAACAGACCCTCGAATTACTCCGCAGAGAAAGTGCTGTCTAAACGCGGAGCCATTTCGAGCCGGGATTAATGATCCGCCCGACAACGAACAACAGCTCCGGGATGAGGATGGGGCCGTATTCAAATTAGCGTGACGTTTGGATAACCAAGTAAAAAATAATAATAATACCGGGACTCACTTCACCCCCAGTCCTTTCGAAACGTCCACGCCGAGGTAATGGGACCTCGGCAGCGTGGTTTTGAACAGGAGCGTTTCCGTATCGAAGCAGCGGACGATGCCGTCGTCGCATCCCACCACGACTGACGAGAATCCGACGCTGAGGGCCCTGGCACAAGTGGTCTGCGAAGCAAGCGATGACAATAGGAGGTCACGGACAAAGGAGGTCAAATCGTGCTCGGCCCAACGCATCTTCCGACACAACAATCGCGTAGTTCATCGAGATTATCGCGGTTTCGAGCCAAGTGTCATGTTCTTACCGTGTAGCGAGCATTCAATCCCACGCTGCATGAAAGGCGCCGCGGTTCTTCCTTGCGCTTTCGGGGACATGGTGTTGTCGAGTTTGTTGCGTCTCACCTCGTCCCATTTTTCTCACTGTATTTAACTATTCAACTTCAAGAACGAACCCCAGGTAACCCTAAATCGCATTGAACTGTACGCTGAGTTAAACCAAGTTCAGCCAGCCGAAAAGGGAACATGTAACCCATCATAAGTAAGGCTTCAAAACAGCTTCCGTCACCTTTACTATTCAGCTAGGTCTCTTCGTTAATTTCAAAAATCTTCTCCTGAAATCATCATTACTGACAGCACACGACAATTTCCCGCTTACGCAGGTGACAGTCGTTAAACCAATCTTAACATATCACGACAGTATTTTAATACAGTACATACATTCTAACACATAGGGTATCAAGTCGATTTCCATGCGGTCATGCCCTTAATGGGTTTTTCAATCAACCTGGTGGAAAATGCTCCTTGAATCCCACTATTATTTGTATTCAAAACATGATGCTCACCCCTTATTTTCCATATTTTATGGAAAGAAAGTGGAAAGAAAGCTCGTAAATATTCTGCTGCACTGTACTCCATCGACCGATGGTTTTTTCATGGAAGCAAATCAGAAAAACGTTAAATTACAGGTTTTTTCATGAAATTTAAAACGAAAGTTCAATTATTCCGAAGTTTTGGATGAAAAGAGACAAAATGAAGAAAGTTCTCCAATGAAAAAACCGAATTTGAAAAAACACGAAAGAAAATGAGCAGCAGAGAAAATGATTAAACTCGGGGCCTCTCTGGCAAAGGAAAGTTGATCGTAACTTTGATACGCACGTTCGATTCCATTATGTCCAGTAGAACGAAATGGAAATATTTTACCAGAATACCAAAGTACCGGATACATGCGATTATAGGCTGCAAATTGTTCCGGCTAAAAAATACTCTCAAAAACTAGGTGAATATATTCGAGCATAAGCCACACTTAGATGACTGGACCTCCGGAATACGAGTCGTATGCTTCAGGAGTTTTCTTTGTGTTGTTTCTACGGGACATTTTTAAACATATTTTCTCAACATTGAAGTGCAATCATTTCAGGTAAAGTAACGGATTTTGTCGCAGGATTGGACGCTTTTTCTCCAATATTTCATTAATTGCATTATTTTTTGTTTTTCTCATTTAAATCACTGCCCTAAATCTGGATGCAGTCTATACAGGCCTTCATATTTATTACTTTATGACATGATAAAACCGATTTTTGCGTAGAAGTAAGAAGTTATACAAGATAACAGGAATTTTTGATAATTCCCATTCAAATCAATGCAGAGCAGCAAGTGCTAAAAAAAACCTTTTTCGGCCCGCGGACCGGCAAACTTCCAGAAAATTGCTTGCGGAACATCAAATTCCCAACAATTTTCAGCAGACCGGAAACATTTCATAATAATTTTGTGGACTCAAAAAAGTTTCGCTTGAAAGACTGTACGGCAGGCAGTTCAAAAGTTTTCTGCTTTTTTGAAAAATTAAGTTAAGACCAATGAAGCAGCTGTTGTCTTCAAAAATATTGAATTACCGAACCCGGCAACAGGAATAAGAAAATCTCCTCACAATAAATTGTCTGAGTTGGTTAAGTTAAAGGCTTGCGACGGCAAGTCATACAATCGAAGGTTTAGAGACGTTTAAGCTGAGAGATTGTAAAACATCATTTTAACTAATTTAGACAACACCATTCAAATCAATACAGAGCAGCAAGTGCTAGAAAAAACCTTTTTCGGCCCGCGGACCGGCAAACTTCCAGAAAATTGCTTGCGAAACATCAAATTCCCAACAATTTTCAGCAGACCGGAAACGTTTCATAATAATTTTGTGGACTCAAAAAAGTTTCGCTTGAAAGACTGTACGGCAGGCAGTTCAAAAGTTTTCTGCTTTTTTGAAAAATTAAGTTAAGACCAATGAAGCAGCTGTTGTCTTCAAAAATTAGACAGGAGGGCTTCATGAAAGGTTTCTCAGAATGAAAATATGAAAAAATTATTTCAGCAGGTGAAAATTTGTCTGAAGTGTCACTAGGAGAAAAGCCAACTTTTATTTATTTTTTTTGTGAGACAATTTCAACTGCGCCATTGTCCTTCTGACATTTCAGAAAAACATAAAAGACTTCATTGCTACTTTTGATAAGATGTATTATGCTGAAGGAAATTTCCCGCAGACTGGCGGAAAACTTCTGCGGACCGGCGCCGGTCCGCGGACCACTGGTTGAGGATCACTGATATAGAGTATTGGATTTCCAAAAGACAAGCATAAAAAATTCTCGCCATGGCAGGCTACAATGGTTGAAGAGGACATGCGCTAAGCAAACAATTTGGCCTTCGCGATCACTCTGCTCATCATACTCGAGGCATTCCCATGCATACATCAGAATGAGGTTCGTTTCCTAAAGCGCAGACGAACGATGAATACCGATGAATCGATTGCTTTCATTGCGGCCTTGGCAATGGGAAAGTTCTCACATCTGGCGAAACGGGACCACGCGAGCATCCACGATAAAGAAAATTATTCACGGGGGTTTCTCCGCACGCGAAGGAAACTTTTTCACATTTCAATCATTCTTCTTTTTTTTCGTTTTTACTCACTCTCAGGTCGACCCATCGACACAGCAGTCGTTCGCTGTTGAATTCGCATAAGATCCCAGACTTGGCGACAGCGAATGTTGATTCCTCGCAATCGCCGCGTCCACAACCGACGTCCACGAAATCGCTGGTCCCTTGTTCGCCTAAAATGGCGCACCGACCCGTCAAGAGCGCTCCATCCGGCTCCTTAAAAAATGGTACTCGTCAATTACGGACAACTTCTTCACTCAGTGCTGCTCAGCGATGGTAACCCTTCCTTTTTTACGTCTCCCACGTACCATATAACCACTCCTCAGTCCTCTATAATGGCATCGCTGCACTCGTTTGGAGCCAACTCTTTTGTCTCCATCACGAGGATGCAAATAAACAAAATAGCTTGGCAAAAAATAACGGAGCAGCTGAAGTTGTTACAACTAACCTCACCCAACCTGCAGTAAATAAATCTCATGTAGCTTTTTAAAACTGCGTTTATCTCTCCTCAGTTTCTATTTTTCTGCATTCATGCTCATCGGGAGGAGCCAGCAGGGCGTCAAGCATATTCGCATTGCGAGGGAGGATCGGAAATGGAACCCTAAACTTTCAGAAGACTTCCGATTCTCACAATTTATTAAAAATTGTCTCTCTGAAATCTTAGAGGACCACGGAAAGTGTTAGCCCCTACACAATTTCTCTTCAAATATTCTTCCTAATTTTTCTATCAATTGATTATCTGGGAACAGGCTGGAAATACCTCTTAATTTAATTTGTGCTCACTAATTAAGAGGTGTCATGCATTTTTTCGTCAAAAAAGGTACTAATCAAAGGATAAATGCATTTGCATGTACAGCGATGTATATTTTATTTTTAGTCTATTTTTTGAATGAGAGTGGGTGGAGAGGAAGTTTCGAACCTCGTGAACGTTGACAAGTAGCGAATAAAGCATATCTATCATCATTGAACCCCCCGCTAGGATGGCATCGCGGCTGGTTCCCAGTGGCACTTGATGGAGCAGTCATCTTCAACACACGAGGGGGGTTTCCTACAAGTTGGCGTTGTAAAAATAAACGGACACAGCGTATTTCACGTTCGCCCTCGGGCGAACGGGTGGTTCGTTCATTGGGTGATTTCTGCGCTGATGAAGCGTGGAAGCGAGGGTTTTACGATTCTCACCGCGTTGTCAGCTGAAGCGCTCTTGAAATACCAAAATTTGACTTGGCGGTTGCCGACTGCCACGAAATGGCCTCCGTTCTCCGCGAAGTCCACAGCTTTCACCTTCGTCGACGCTTTATTGCAGGCGAGTTTCGTTTTACGGCCCCAGTCCCATACGTTGACAACCTGGTCATGCTGGGACCCCACAGATACGAGATACTTGTTCGACAAAGCCTACGCGCCGAAAAGGAGGGAAAAATTCTAAACGCCTCGAATGTTCAACCCCATTTTCGGGCAATGATTTAAAAGTACCAGGGTTGGCTCGGAAGTTCTTCTGGTCTCGTATTTCCCTCGCGGTTAGCCTTGTTGGATGGATGGAGATCAATATGATTTTCACCGATAAATGTTGATCATCAATTCATGACCATTTTTTTCAACATTTCTCAGCTAAATGTAAATTGAAGAATTTATTCATACAGTTCAAAATGTCCTCACAGCTGGACAACGACGATTTTGTTTCTCACAACACCCGTATTTCCACGAATATGTTCGCAGTCCAAGGACTACCAAGTACCGGACTGTACTTCAAATCATTCCCAACCCCTTTTTTTACCAAGTCCGAAAACCTTCTTCCAAGTGTCCTGATCTCAGCAAGTTTTCCGTTAGTGAGGCTGTATGTGAAAGTTATCGTAAAACTTAACTGTTCAACAGGAATTTGCTGTATTTAGGACTTAAACTTCAGAATATTCTCATCAAAGGAACAACGGCTCGAAGCCTCAAGTATCGTAACTAACCCCACAGTGGATATGGGCCAAACTCCCACTAAGAAATGTGGATGCTTTCCAAGCGCTCCATTTCAAGGTACTGCACTGACCAAACTTTCGAACCATCCCTGGCACGTCGTTAAAACACTGCTGGAATCTCATCGCCGCGTACCACGCAGTTAACGCCGTATTTGTGCCCGGGGAATACGGCGTGTTCAGCACGTTGGGCCACGTCCCACACCCTGACGCATGGATAAGTCCCGTGTTCTCCTGACGCCAAGAAGAGTCCATTGTTGGAAAACGCCAGGCACGTGATGATGTTTTTGCTATTTGAGTGCAGGTATTTCCATTGACGAGGCTTGATGGGCGAGGTGGTGTCGTCCTGGCTCGAAAAAGGCGAGACACGCAGGGGACAGAACAAGACAATGACGCACCTGCGGGAAGAAGAAACAGGAAGTTCCGATTTTAAAACCCTCGCACTTTGAGCTTTCACGCGAAAAAAAACGAAATAATGATTCCGCCGGGCCTCCGGCAAAGAAATGGACGATGAAAGAAACTTTTTCCCCCGACAACCGTATCTCCCCACGTGCAATTTTTTTGAAGGCAAGAAAGTGCCAGCCACTCAAAACGCATGGCATCATTAGCAACCAAGGGAGCCGATTCCACCGGGGCCCTTTAAAAATTATTTCAGTTTCATAAGCATGGGCTTTTCAGCAGTTGGTACTCATATATACCATTTGTAGTACATGGCCATCGAAGAAGTTGGTGCGCAATGTGTGTCATTTTCTGCATGGGAGGTACATAGGTTCAAGATAGAAAAAAAAACCGTTTTTGGGATGACAATGGGAGGGAAACAAGCCATAGCAAGGGCGACGAAGCATTAGAAGTACTGTAATGAGAAATTTACTCGAGCTAATTACACAAAACCAGTAACTGGATTATCAAGTTGAATGTGCTGCGCATGTTGAGTTAAAATTGTGAACCAGGCATAAAACAAATTCTCTATGAATTGGTGGAAACTTAGCACCCGAAAGGTGGCAGGCAAATACTGACATATCTAGAAAGTAGAACGATTCAGAACGAAGTCAAAAAGCTGTAGCTGTTAGCTATGCAGCCTTTGGTCATAGATTTGAATAACTTCAACTCCTTTCGACCGCAGAGAACAGTAGCCTGAAGTTGAGATGGTTCACTGAGCAAGACACTTTCTCTCTGAACACGGTGCTTAATGCAATTTGAGAGGCAATTATGCTCCGGCTAAAAAATTAGCGCGCTTTTAATTTCCTTTCTCAATGACGGAACAATGCGGAAACGGAAGGACCGCTGTTGGGACTTTACGGGCTATCCCTCGTCGAGATATCGCGGAAAGATTTCACGCAGCATTTCACTACAACAATAATTCCGAGGAATAGCGGTGGGAAACACGGTCTCGATTCATTTCTGGCCGATGAGACCCAAGCACGTCCGAGCCGAGTAAAAACAGAGCTTTTCCCCCTGGACTCGAAACCTACGAGGTCCCTTTCACGACTTTTTTCTTTCTTATTCTTTCGACGTTGGTGGGAACTGCAAGGTGGATGACCCCGCAAGCGTTGCCCTGGGAAAACGTGATCTAATTGCTCCACAACGGCAAATCACGCGCGGAGTTGACAAAAAGGTCCTCAACTGAGTGGCTTTACACGCACGCGAATCGATTACGGTAATAAGCCCTCTTGTGCACCACAATGCAATGTTTTCCGAACAACAATCGGCATTAAAATCATTATAGCTACACTTCCAGGTTTCATGAAATCCTCGGCTGATTTCGCGATCTTCCAAACATCAGATGAAGTGAAAGCGAGAAATTGTTTTTAATTGAATCAAGTAGTGCACTGCAGCATACTGACATATGCTTAGTTTGCTCACGAAGGAATTGAAATCACGAAGGTGAACGATCTTGTAATAAAAAAAAAATCGAATTCTAGTTTCTTAAAATCCTTTCACTCCGCATCCCGCAAAATACTGACGATGAACTAGAATAATCGAAAATTGAATCACTGAATAAAAAAAAAAAAAAAAAAAAACGGGCATGACTACGAAAACCGGTTGAACATATTTTACTTGAATATAAGACGCAGTTGCATTCGCATAGTTGTTCGATTTGATATAATCTCGAGAACGAATCTAAGACGCGAACACACTCTTTCTGTTTCTTACCTTCATCTGGCTAAGAGGAGTCCGCCGTAGGATCATCTGGAGTCACATGTGTCACGAAGAACCCCACTTTCTGTCGCATTGTTTAATACTTCGCCGAAAATTGCACCATTTCAAAAATACAGTACTGAGGAGTATCAATTCTTTTCTTGGTGATCGACTCTCTTGCTTCAACATATTCGCTCTATTCTTGATGGAATTTCAATAGTAAAGGAGTGTATTTGCCTTTTTTTCATGAATTCACCAAATGTTGTACTGAAGTTTTGTCTCACTTCATTTTTATTCAGCGGAATGAGTCTTCGGATTCACTTCAAATGCAAATTCAAGGCGCCATCGAATTTAAAATAAAATTGTATCAGATTTAAGATCCCATCGGATATAAGACCCACGCTGATCTTACAGAGCCAGCCAATTTAAGCGAAGAAAATTACTTTTTATCCTCGAATAAATTCAGAATCTTGCGCGAGAATTTAAATTTGCTCGCACGCCAACCACAAAAATGAATTGTATCAGTGAAGATTTCTTCCTTGTCAGAAACTTCATACAAAGCAAAATGTGTGGCTTACTCAAGCGATGGTTCGGAAAACGCGAAGCCGCAGGTTTCAGCGAGTTTTTGGTTGCAGCTGACCGCAAAACTTGGTTCACTTGAAAGCAGAAACTCAGACTTTTCCTCGTTCAGAGGCGCATTTTCGCATGTACGTGATAATTCGAAAGTGACTCTTGAACTCACACGGTGAAAGAAATTATTTCACGGGATTATTCATTTCTGAGAAAAGCACTCCTGCTTCAGAAGAGTGGCTTTCGAGGGATTCACTGGGTCAAAACTGTACTGGCATGGATGAGTTCTTACACAAATGAGCAAGCATGTGGAGAAGGAAAAAAACCGTGACGTTAGCAGATTGAACTTCCCAGACAGAATTTAGGAAAAGCAATTAAAAAAAAAAAAAAAGCAGAATTTTGCACTGGAAAATGAAGGGTGTGAACTGATAACGGTGGTCTATCCCTAGAGGGTCATCAAAGTTCGATTTCCTCCCACGAGCCACCGAAGGACGTGATTCACCGAACTCGACGCTCCGTATCGACCTCACCGGCCTCTATCGAATGGTTCGATCAGAACCCGAGAAAACGAATCAGGTCACTGCATTATTTGACCAGAATACGTATCCACGAATCTCACGATTTTTAGGTACAGTAATATGGAAGTCTCTTCCGTGTACTGTATGGCCATTCACACCTGCATGCCGCCATTAGCCTTCAATTTTCTCTGCATTTTGATCACGGACGTAAAACTATTTAAGAAAAATTTGCTCGATAAATCTGTTCCACTTTTTCTCGATATCTCAGTCAAGTTCGGGGAGTTATTTGTAGCGTGTTCAACCTCACCTGTTTATCCGAAAATAAGAACTGGACATCCAATAAGCCTTATAGCTCTAGTTTAACACCCTTCATTGCATATCCGTCATACCCTAACCCCTAACATAACTACATAAGCTACTGTTAGTAACGAATTAGGGAACAAAATCACGTGCAACTGGATATTCGCTTCGTATACAATGAGACCCCCCACATGTGGACACCTCGACATGCCGACAATTCATCATAGGGACATTTATTTGTCAATTAAAAAACCATGAAAAAGGCCCAACATATACGGACACTGACTTGACATGAGGACATTAAATGATAAAATTGCCAACAACTTTTAGGAAAATTGACTTTTATTAGGCTTAATTGCAAGAAACAGATATTTCCAACCCTTAGATCTATGCAAGAAAAATTATTTGGTACTTTTCCCATCACTTTCCCATCCATTCAGCTAATTAAAAAAAACCTATAGTACAGATGGACTTCCTTCTCTCTTTGTAACTTGGATTTTATATTTACAGATGCCAACATTTCAATGAACTGTACAGCCTACTATGCAATGCTCAAATGTTCTTATTGGGTTGAAAAGATATTCACTGAATCAAATTCAGCTGGCAAAACAAAATTTTTTTCACGGAATTCTGAGGAATATTTCTTCCGTAAAACACCAATTACAAATCATATAATGTAAGTCTATGGGAAAACAAGACTCGACTTAGGGACAATTCAACTTATTAGGGACACTCTTGATGCACCAATTATGTCCGCATCTGGGGTCTCACTGTATTTCCCAAACGAAAACAAAACCAGGAGGTTTATCAAAACGAAAACAGAATAAACTCGACGCGAATATCTACCCGAATCATCTACCGTAAGGTTGGTGAATACATTTTTCAACGTTGTGCTTCCTCTTTTTTGAAAGAAGGGATGTGTGTGTAGAAATACATATTTGATGGTTTCCTCATCAATGTGCATCTTTCCCCGAATTTTAAACCTGGAGCAGGTAGATAGTGCACTGGGAGAAATTGAGACCTGCCTTTGAAACTTTTTTTTATGAATTTGTCCGCAATCCACGCGCTACGAAATATTTATGGGAATTGAAACATTTTCTGAAAAGCAATGTCCACACAGACAATCCTATCGCAATGAAAAATATTTCAACATTATTTGTTTTAACGATTTATGCCGGCTACGAAAAGATTACTCTGAAGAGTAAAATGACAAGGAAAAAATCGCTAAATCCGAGCTATCAATTGAAGAAGCTCTTCAGCAAATTAACAGCTGATGACGATGTCTTGGTGTTGATATACATTGGTGAAACGGATTCTGGTTTGAAAAAGAAGGAAAAAATTGTGTACCCTACAGCTTGGCCAAGTTTCTGCTGACAACAATTTCGAATCGTACATCATTCAGTACTCAATGCTGAACCTGCGATGCATCCCAGAAAGTCTGGACAGTTCAGAGATGCAGCGCCCGAATTCTGGTTTGAAGCTCGCACCAAAAATTTTCTCTTCCCAGACCGAAGCCAGCGAGATGCTCATGATTGCATATCTTTCAACAAATAAATGCGCGGTGTTTACAAATTACCTCTTGGTTGAGCACAGTGGGAGGAATAATGTCTGGAACGCCCTACCGACCAAGGCCAGAATAATTAAGTCGGGAAAGTGTATGGCTCACGTAGATTAGTCGCACGACTGCACGTTCAGAACCTTGCATCAATTCATTCAGCAGGTCATCCA